ACTGCACCAGTTTGCGATTTCCCAATCTTTTTCAATGACAGACCCATGGAAGGTACAGTGAAGTACTCCAACGGTAATGTAACTTTATTGATTAGTCAATTGACCATATCAAGAATATTGAAGTAGTTAAGATTACTTATACCTGATTTTAAGACCAATTGCTTATACTATCCTGGTTCAGAATATTTATACATTAATATAAATGCTACCTATGAAAAAATGTGAGTTGCTTTATGAGTCTTGTATAAATAGTTGAACTCTTTTTATTCATAAAGTAGCACAAGTCATTGTTGGGGATACAGTGAAAATTGTAGGAAGCCTTCCTACAACAGTGAGGTAAGAGTGAGAAAACTTTTTTCAAACAGCCGATTGCTTGAAGTGTAACATTTGCTCTGCCATTCACCAGCCTCCCTGATTTTAAAGTAAACAGAAATCCTTGAGAGCAAGATACGTCCTGCATGATAAAAAAAAAAGGTTTTTAATTGAAAGTATGTCCCCCCACATTTTTCTCTTGACTTAATTGCATACTAAAGCTCTGATTTAACTGAATTTATGATTCTGTTAACATAATGCAGAGATAGGCAGATCATTTAGTTGATTTTCATAGTGATGGTGCAACACATTTTTGGAGAAGATATCACCAGTTTAATCACAGACTGTATTGGTATTTCCTCCAACCTGATACTGTAATGTTTTTGCAATATAGAAACTGGCTGTGAGGGACTAGCATCTGCCCAGCATTGCACTTTAAATTAGGTATGGAAGAGGGCTTTTTTTTTTGGGGGGGGGGGGGGGCTTATTGTGGAGAGTTGCTGAATCTGTTACAAGGACCCAGTCTTGTACATGAGCAGCTTGATGAGTGTCTTCTTCCTTTGGAATCCCCTCTCCTTTTTATTTTATTTTTTTTTGCATCTCTGTGCAAGTGTGGACAGGATTTTCTAGCTGTGATATCAGAAGTTTGATGTGCTTTCAGTGCCAAGGAAATATTAAAATAAGCATGCCTTTAATGCTCTATTTTCTTTTTGTATTAAGCTTATTTGCTTAGGCTTTTGCTATAGTTTTAAATTATTTATTTTTATGTAATTTGCCCTTTTGCTCAAGTAAGGAAAATGTACTTTAAAAATAAATATAGTCTGGTTATGTTTTGTTTTTTAAAAAGAACTTTAGAAAACTGATTTCTACTGACTATAATTGTGTCCCATTGAGAAATATATTATAAAATAACTCATACAGAGCCCCTTACAGATAAGGAAACTTCATACTTAATAGCAGTGACTTCTTGTATCATAATTGTTTCTCTGTCTGCTTGGTCACAGACAAAACCATGGCAGAATTTATAATAAGAGATAGAATTTACCCTTCCTCTTTCTTGGCTAAATTTTAATTCAGGTAGAAAAATGCTTACAGATTGATGTCATCAGAAGGATTTCTGGGTATTTTAAAGCTGTTTGCCAAGTACATTTTCTTCATTCCTATGCAAGGCTGCACTTCATTCCATGCAATGATTGCACCATTTCTGAAACTGTTGCCAGTAATAGGTTGTTGGAGATTAGAAATTCCAGGAACAGGGCATGTGTTAAATTCCCAGCTCTATCCCTGGCACCTAAGTTGAAAGCAAAATGGGGTTGAAGTGGTATCTGCTGAATGCATCATAGGGTTGTTACTAGTAGATTAAGCGAAGTGGTGGCTTGGAGTCTTCCACCCTTTTTTCTTTGCTTCTCACCTTATGGTCTAGGATTGTTCATGAGTTGCCCTGGGTAAGTGATGAAAACCCCACCTCTCTCTCTCTTGAGCATTGTGTATTTGAATGGGTAGAATACATTTTATGCAGTTTTTAAACATAATGCATTTTAAGCATATTTGCTTTTTGAAACTTACAGAAAATCATGATGAAGAAGCAACTAATGTCCGTGCACGGTACTGAAGCTTTACTTCTTTTCTACTTTATTTATTTATCCCTTCCTACAAAGTTAGCATGCTAACCATAATACCTCTGAGACATAGTCAGTAAACAGAAACAATATTCCTGACCAATTCTTCCCTCTATCACCAATCTTGGTCAATGTTTTCATAAGGGCACTTTATAAATGAACACCTAATTGAGATGGGGGCAGGTTTAGTAGGTTTGGTAGTGATTAGTCCACATAAGTATGAGGAGTGGATATTTTTTTATTAGTATGCACCTCCTTTCCAGGCATCACTCCAGAGCCAAATGTTGACTTCCACAATTTTATCAAATACCCTATTCACACCAAAGACTGGACAACCATTTGTCTGAAATGGTATAGGGTCTCCTATTTGAGCAAAGGATTGCATTGGAAGACCTCTGAGATCCTTTCCAACTGTATTATTTTATGATCTTATGTTACATTTGAAAGCAAAAGTTCTCAACTTGCTGAATTCATTGCCACTTTTTGGGATAAGGTAAAAGTGGATTATAACATGTAGAAATTTAAAGTGTACATCTATACTGTTAAATGACTACCACACAACAATATTTATTTGGTTTAGAATTATTCAGGAAAACACTCCCCAAAGGAAAAGATAAGCAGTCAAAAATAAACATTCCACACTTTTAATTTCACTCATTTTTAAAATAAATTATTTGGGGAAAACTCTTGGTCTTTTGAAAACACAGTATATATTTTTCAAAGTTCCAGTTGAAAAGGCCTATTTGCTTACAGAAAATGACCATAACCTGATTCTAAATGAAAGTTGGCTTTTTGTTAGCAAAATACAGGCTTGCAAAAGTATTAGGTAATAGAGAGGGACATTTTTCAGACACGAAATTATTCAAATTGTCACTTTGTTTATGACATCTAAAAATGATGTAACATGTTATTTTCTCCTCTTACGTACACAGATTTATCCTTTCTTAAGAAAAAAAATTGAGAACTCCAGTAATTCTGTTTCTTATCTTAGTAATATTTACTACGTATATTTTATCAGAGTTCTATTGAATATAGGAAATAGCAACACTATTTCTTTTTCCTAGAGATTGGAGAATTTAGAAAAAATGCTAATTTTCAAAATATTGTGACTCTCGATAGGTTAGCATGAATATAAAATAACAAAGAAAAATGGGCTTGTACATCTAAAATTTGGAAAATCAACAATACTTTTTGCATTGTTGCCTATTTACAGAATTGGGCAAAATGAATTTATCTAATGTTTCACTTTTGAAGCTACAGACCACTAAGTGATTAGATATTTACTATGAATTAATTATAATGTGACACTTTCCTTATATGATAGATGAGAAGTACAATTTCTATAATTGTGACAACTCTTATATAGGAGATTAGCTATGATTTCTCCATATCTGTGATATATTTTTATTAACATTTTGAGAATTGTGAAGTGATTGTGTTAGGACAGCACTTATAGACATAGATGGCAATACAATAATTTGTTAATTTTTTATGATTGGAATTCACCTAAAATGGTACAATGGAATTGTATATGTAGAAGATTGATTTTGTTTATTTTAATATCACAAGCAATGCTTTTAGGTTTGGACAGAATGAAAGCTAATTTAGAATAAAAGAGACCCTCAAGACAATAAGATAGTATCCTGCTATCTAGAGTGAAGGGACTTTCATAATCCAGTAGTTGAATAGCAGTTAATATAGACAGAATATGTAAGAATTTATGTGCTTTCATCATAAAAAAAGAGTTGTGCATATGCACAGGAATGAATTTAGTTCTATTAGACTAGGCTTCCCTATTTTATAATCAAATATTGTGTTCTGAGAAATTTTTGTAATAAAATACAGAACTTGTTGAGTCAGTGAGAGGAACATCCTCTCTGGATTATCAGTTTTTTTGCAGCCTCTTGCATCCCATTCTGGATCTAAACTACCAGATTCCTAGCGCAGAGCTACAAATTGGAAAAGGAAGCTTTCCTGATACAGAGACTTCCAGGTATCTTGGATTATTAAAAAAACATCAACTCTACCAGGCATGGATTTTCTGATTTCTTAGCGTTATCCTCTCCCCATTTGTTATTGCAAAGTTGAGAACATTGTTTTGAATATATGTACAATATATATATATTCATTCAAGTACAGAATTCTGTCTTTTGTTTAGAAAAAATTAGGGAAAAAAAGATGGTTACATGTTGGTGTGTGTGTGTGTTGCTTCTTTTGCAACCCTAGCTCACAGGTCTAACTAATGTCTCCTTGATTCTTACTTTATCTTTAATAAAGTGTTTAGATGCATGTTGCTAGAAAGAGCCATTGAGAAACTTACATATCTTTAAGACAGCTTGTGGCTTATATTAGCTCTGCTATTAAATTCTACCTACCATAAATGATTTGCTTTTAATAATTTGGAAATAAATAGATTTAGATTGAATGAACACTTCAGCAAAAAAGAGCCAAGGGATTTATGTTTTCAAGCTATGTGAAAGCATTCCTGTCTCTTTGTGCAGATATTTTGCTGCTCAAGTTGTAAGCCCACTAGAGGGCACTGTTGTCATGCTGTTGGCCATCAAGCATCTCTGGTTTAGTGGAGCAGGAAAGGCCATCACTGTTTAGTCTGCTCTCGAAGGGTCTCGGCATGACCAATGTGGACCCCATGGACTTCCTGGAACATGTGTTAGCAATTTAGGAGCAGACATTTATTTCTTTGTTTTACTGCCTGGCTCTTGGAAAAAAGTGTTGGTGCCGGGTTATGGGCTGTCTGGATCATGTCAGAGGCCATGGGGATCAAGTTCATGTGACAGGGCAAGCAAAGGGATGGAGGAGGTGAGGAAGCTGCCCCTCCCCAGGAGCAACAAATCGCTGCCTGTCTGTGGACTGCAGCCAAAAGACAGGCCTTGCGGAGTTCCTGGGACAGCTGAAAAAACACCGCATAATTCTGTCCAATTCCCTCTTTTGCTGGACTAGTGCATTAAATTGTACAGTTTTAATGTTTTTTTAAAAAGAGGTGGTGGTGGTGATGATGGGGAAGCTAGCTCAGTAATAATTTTTCTTTCCTCCTTCAAATTCCCAATTTAGCACCATCCCGAAGAGGGGACCTTGAAACCTTGGGCTACTGTATGTTGCAGTGGATCTGTGGAAGTCTACCCTGGGAGAGGAATTCGAAGCACCCTGAGGCTGTGCAGGCTGCGAAAACAAAGTAAAAAAAAAGTGTTATTTATTTATTTATTTACATGTTCTGCCCTAACTCTGCAAAGCAGGACAGATTGAGAGGATGGGGTATATGTTGGGAAAGTATGTGTGCAGGGATCACACTTTGTAATGAATTCGTCCTTTCTCCCCCCCCCTCCCCCCCAAGAAAAAACTCCTTTAGCAAATCAAAGCAAACCTTAAGTATAGGTGTATGAAATAAAATACATTTTTGGATGGAAAGCATTGGCCCCTAAGTTACACTTCTGAAAGAATTGCAAGAATACAGTCAACATTAACTGTGCTTATTGTTCTTATTTTAATTAATATTTGATCCCCTTTTGTAAAAAAAATCCATTGGAAAGCAAGCTCCTTATTGCTGAGGGAGTCGAATGGCTTCCCTCTCCTCTTTTGTATTATCTCTGCTAAAGGACAGCAGCTGGCAGCTTTAATGAAGATGACAGGAGAAGGTTCTGCTAAGCTGCCAGGAGGTTCACAGATGAGGCTTTTTCTTGACAAAAAGCACAAGGTTGTTTTTTTTTTTCCAGTTGTAATGCATTCCCGGTCACTGGAAGGGAACCCATGTGTGGTTGTGCTTGTGTTAGGCTCCAGGATTAATCCTCAATGAATGAACTTTTCTTAAACAATCACAGCCTAGAGAACTCCTCTGAGGAGCCTCATAAAGTTGACATTCCAACTAATCTTGCTGCAAAGGTATTCACCTACACTTGGATCCTATTTGTTCTCCAAAGAATATATTCTTATGAAACTTTTGAAACTTATCTTTCAAGGATGGGGGTTACATGCTGTCACAACAATATTGTGAGATGGTCAGTTCTGAACACTCCATTGTTTAAGCCTATCCATCTTAACTCCCATCCATTTTCCGCTACTCAGTAGTGCATATCTCTTTAACTTAAATAAATGAAAACAGTCTGTACAGGATTCTTAGCCTTGACAGCTTTAGATAGCTAAGATAGCTGAGCTATCTTACTGTCTTGAATCTTAGGGTTTTGAATTTTTAAAATACAAACTAACCTCTGAAATATAATCCTGCAGCAAATCTCATTGAATACAACTGGACAATTATTAGTTGCAACTACAATATTCTGTTTACTTGAGAGACTTCGTATAATTACCTTTAACTTGACTGAAACACATGTTGGCATGTAGCGTTGATTAACTATTGGATAACAAAAAAGGTTCTTGATAAGTTGTCAGTTTTATTTTTAAGGTACCTTGCTTTTGAATGAAATTTTATTGTCTCCATTTATTCCCTTCTTTTTAAAGAGTATTTTCAGAAAGGCCATTCATAAGTGTGAAAAACAAAAGGAAACTGGAATTTCACCTGCTTCCTTCCCTGAAAGCATGTAATTAGCCCCTGCAAAATGGAACTTGTGTGGCAGTCTCTCTGCCATTACTGTGGGACATAAGTAAGTGAATTATTGGGCCCCACGCAGCCAGTTTCTTGGCTCATAATATACCAGTTATGCTGCAGTGGAGAGTTACACGTGGCAAAGGGAGAAAAGTTTTAAATAGGGCAAGTCACAACAGAGATACACAATAGGGATGGCTTGTTCTGAAGAAATCAATCTGCACATTCAGTTTGGCATTGGCTCTCTGCAGAGAGAGAGGGAGGGAGGGAGGTTAGCCTGCAGGCTGCAGATAATACAGATTGTATCTGTAAATGTTGACTTTGTACAGTATTGTTTAATATTTTCTCCTTTAAAACTCTTGATCACTACAATTCCCCATTACCTGTCTCTTAATGCAATTCAGTATTCAGTCAATGTAATCCTTAAAAATTATAATTCTACACTCAACAGTTAACCCCATGAAAAAAATGGTACATCTTGTTCCCAAAGTCCCATTACCACATACACACACATATATGCTCTTCGAGATTCTTGATATTTTACTACAAAAAATTAAACATTTCCAATGTTCATTGTGCTAATGCGGATTGAAGAACAAATTATAGACCCATGTTTCAAATGCCCAGATTTGGTTATTCTCAAGTTAAATGCTTGGGTAGTTATGAGTTCTCCATTAAGCTGTGTTATCTGATTAACTAGCATACTTGGTATAAGGCAACATTATATAAGTTAACTAGCCTAATGCAGAGAAAAGGTTTTGTAAATGTGTATATCTCTTTTTCCCCTTTCAATTCCTATATGAAACATCTTTATATTTATTAGAAAGGTAAGTTTTATGTCAGATAAGATGCAGTATTCAGCCAAATGACTACATTGCATATTTGACAACTCAGTTGGATTTTGGGCAAAAAGAATGAAGAAAGCATCTGCTGGAGAATTTGTGAAGCTAAAGTTGTCTGGTGTTAAGACAGCTTTTTGCCAAAGATGGCTTTGGATTCTAGCATGCATTAGTCTTTCTAGAATGAAAGGAATTATTAGCTTAAACAACAGGAGGACTCCAGATTTGGTACAGACAAACTGGTCTATTTCACTTAAAGTATTAGTATTACATATAGTTCTCTGTTAACAATGAGAATTGGATTTGAACTGGAATTGCACTAAGCAACATAATCATATATTGTGATGCCATGTGACCATACCATTTAGCAACAGCAGTTCCAGTTCCTGTTGCTAAGCAAACACTATGCAAGTTGTTAAGTGAGGACCTCATATACCACTTCCTGCTGGCTTCCCACTGACTGCTGAGTGTCCAGATCACTGTCACATGACCTCAGGGATGGTGTGAGGTCTGAGGATCAAGCATAAGTATCGCTTGTTTAGCACTGTCACAAATTCCACAAGTGGTGGTTAAACACAGTATAGATCACACAATGGGGCCTAAGCATAATCTGGTATGTAGATTTTTAAAACAATTAAACAAGGACAGATGAATGTCTGTACAGGTGGTTCTCGACTTAGATCACAAATGAGGCCAGCATTTCTGTTGCTAGGTAAGACATTGGTTAAGTGAATTTTGACCCATTTTACAGTCTCTCTTGCCACAGTTGTTAAGTGAATCACTGCAGTTGTTAAGCTAATAACCTGGATGTTAAATGAATCTGGCTTCCCCATTGACTTTGTTTGTCAGAAAAATGATCACATGACCTTGGAACACTGCAGACGTCATAAATATGTGTCAGTTGCCAAGCATCTGAATTTTGATCACATGACCTTGGGGATGCTGCAATGCTCATAAGTCAGTCTTTTCAGTGCTGTTATAGCTTTGAAAGGTCACTAAATGAACTGTTGTAAGTTGTGGACTAGTTGTACTGTTTCATTTGTTCTGTACCTAGAGCAGCAGTGCCCCAACCTTGTGACTTGGCAGCCCAGCCGGCGGGGGGAGGGGAGAGGAGAAACGGGCCACATGGGCTGGTGCATATGCACGTGCAGTTCAATTCATCTAAGCGGCCAGCCAGCGTGCAGGCACATGCACATGCAGTTCAACTAGTTGACTCGCATGCATGTGTGCATCGGCCCACCACTTGTGCGAGTCGAGCTGTGTTTGTGTACTGGCCTGCCATGCCTGCGGCCCAGTTGCAAATAGGCCACATCCGCAGCCTGGAGGTTGGGGACCCTTGATCTAGAAAACATTCTGCAACATTTTTTAATTAACATGTAACAAAAGCTTTATCTCTAATTTTTCCCCCATGGTTTTAAACACTATTTGATAGCCCTGTTTGAATGATATGCTTGTGAGCGATGGGGTGGAGAAGGTAGCATGCTGTGCAAACACCTTTATCCAAACACATGACCGATGAACTAATCCATAAAATCTTGGGCTAATGCTAAGTTGTGCTATGTCTTCAGTTTCATGGTCTTCGGACTGGTTTGAGTAACATTTGTGAATTCATGGGATGTATGGTGAGTTCATGGGCTAGGTAAGGCAGTTTAGATCTCATTTTCATCTTGGAGCAGATGGATAGTGATCTAAATGTGAAGAGCAACTCTGTCAGCCCTTTCCTGTGCTTAGATAACTCTTAATACAGTTAAGATTATTGTATTTAGGCCAAATTTAGATAGCCTACTTGGGATGAGTATGGATTTGAGTAATTTCCAGCAGGCCCTTGAAGATTTTTCAGGATCTTGCAGACCATTCTGCTATGTGCCTCATTAATTACTGGCAAAAAATGACAATATATATGCTTGATATAATTGGCCACAAGCAGCCCCTCTGTCAAAGTGCGCACAATGTGACTAAGTGAGAAAACCCAAATACAGTTTACAGAGAGGTTTGTAATTTATACATAGTGTACATATAGTACATATAAGTTTTATCCATACAAAAACAGATATACATACAAGTACTTTGAGACAGGCCTTGAACAAACAGCCATCAGCAAATTACAGCACGGAAGCACACACAGAGAGACACACCACAACAGGGCCTCTCTTATATTATAGCCTCTTAAAGTGGTGTATTTATTTATTTATTGGAATTTATAAAAAAAAAAACGAAGAAGAGAATAAAAATACAATGACAGGGACAATAGGCACATTAGTACACTTATGCACACCACTCTACTGACTACTTAAGTATGAAGTAAGGTCCATGGAAGTCAATTTATGACTGAAACTGTGAAATAACCCTGCTGACTCAAGACTACCATTGCATCATTACATTACAGTATTATAACAGCTGGTTAGCTTTGAAATCATCATTACCTTGACACCCTCTCTGTCTGGGTTTTCTGAAGGGCTGTGGAAAACAAAACATCTGAAGAAATGCCTATAATGCTGGTGGTGAAAGACAGAAAATGAATCTGACTGAGCACAAGATCAAGTTAGATTCAAGCTGACTCCAAGGTGGTCTCTCTTTTGCTTGATGTGCTCAAACTGGGCACCCTCTACCATGCATTCTTTCCTTTGAATTCTTTCCTTTGGGGCATAATGGAACTGACAGTGATCTAGACCAGGGATCAGTACAGTACAATCCAGTAGTAAAGACTATTATGTGTTTATTCTGGGCTACTGAATTTGTGTATGGGAGAGTGTGTGTGTGTGCGCGCGTGCGTGCACGCGCACATGCACTTGTTTTAGCATAGAAAGATGTGGACGCTGGGGTGGATTAAGCCTGTATAAGCAAGCAATTGACATATATGTTGACTTCAGGCCAGCTTCTGCTAATGGAGTCAGGATAGGAGGTGAAAGCCACTGGAAACTTCCTAGTAAAAATAAGTTAAAATATTGGGACCTTCGAGGTCCATTTTTGGCCTCTCTCTCTCTCTTTTAAAATATTTTAATTTTTCCTCTGTTAAAAGGATTTTTAAGAGAAGATTTGAAGGCTGTGATAAGCACAACTCCCAAGGTTTTCAGTCCTTATCTTGTAGAGATAATTTGAAAGGTAGAAGAAGCGCATTGTAGGTAGGCATAATCTTTGCTATAGCATTTTGTACTATAGAAAAGAATGTACAATTTAACCTAGAAATTTATTAAGCAAGAAACTCTTGATTTGGTGCAATTTTGGAATTACATTAGATTAGTATTCCGTATATTTACTTGGGAATAAGCCTCACTAAACTGAATAAACATAAATAAGAATAGCAAATTTATCAAATACCATCAATGTATAAATTCTATTTGTGAGCAACAAGGAGGATTCAGGTGAACTCTTTAAAATGTGGCTATTAATCTATACTATATTACAAAAGGTTTGGCAGGAGTTCTTGTGAATTTATTTTCTTGGCCATAATTCTGTGTAGTCTAATATCTGTCTATAAAGAGTTAATATAAAAGAGATGGAGATTTGCTAACTATTCTTGGTTCCCAAAGAGAAAAGAATTCGTTAGCTACCAAAGGGAGGGTTACTATTCTGCCCCCAATCTCACAAGTGGCTCATTCTTTTGGTTCTAGGCTTCTTGATGAACTGCCTGATTCAGTAACAAGGTGGGCTTCTGCAGGAGAAAACTGTGGTAAGTGTAAACACATGTGAGCATTATTATATATGTCACTTGAGGATGGCCACTCAAATTGCCTAGTTTATGATTCCAAATGGCCAATATTTCTATTTCAAACTTGGCTTGAAAAAGCTGAAAGGTGCACCTTCACAGTGGTAGAGAAAAGGATATCCTTCTGTTTCCTCCAAGCTTATCGAACTATGGACCTGGTCAAAATATTTTTCTCTTTCCTGCTTCTGCCTTCAGCTGGCACAGCATACTGTGATGCCTTTTAGAGCGACCTTGAATGAAGAGTGTCTTACACCTTCCATAAAAATGAACTATCCTTGATATTTGGCCACCTCAAGTCAAGTTGATTTGGTGTTTTTCTAAAAGAAAAGAGTGATGTGTGCTTTATTGACATGCCATAGAGATGCTTCATTCAGTGAGCGATAAAGGAATAGGTGGCTAATGTTATTTTTTTGTAAAATACCAAAATCCCACAATAGGTAGCTAATGATAGTTTTGAAAGAAAGTTAGAAAAAGTGGATACTGAATACCATATTTATTTTTGTTTTGTTAAAAAAGTGTTGCTGCTAGGTTGGTATCTTGCTTCTGTTTGTTCAATTTAACTTGCTCTACGATTCTGAGACAAAATGTTCACACAAGAAGTTAAAATGCTGTAATTATATAGTATATACCAGCACACTGTTAAGTTTGGCAAAACCTAAATTATTTTGTTGAAGATATTTAAAGCTTACTTGGAAAGAATTATTCTGCAAAGTGTTTGTTGCTGCAAAATATGTATGTTATTTAAGAGCACTTTTATATTTCCTCATGATTGTCAATATGAAATTTGCCTTTCTTCATAGGAGATGAACAACCTGCATGTGATAATGGGTGGTTTTTCCTTTTTCCTTTTGGTCCTCATAATTCTATAATGAATAGCATTTACCAAGATATAGCTACTTCCTTAAAGTTATTTGTTAGGAAAACTTTATTAATGCAATTTTAAAATGTTGAATAAATCACTATGACTACATATGCTATGTTAATGCCAATTCCCCTTGCTAGAAACTCTTGAGTGATCTGTTTTAAGTGACTTGAGTTATTTGGTGTTATCAGCAAAATTAGCCACCTCCGGATTATGAACAACAGTGACATTGGTATTGGTAATTCAAATAAACAATGTCCATTGCAATCTCCTTTACAAAAGACTTGTTGACACTTTTAGAAGAACTGGAACCTAGTGGGATTGTTTCTATAAAAACAAATTATTCTTCAACAAGATGTGTCCTATTGGCTTGAAAAGTTTGCTAATGTTTCTAATAGTTCACTTGAAACAAATATTAAACTAAGTAGCCTATCACTTCTTACATTACTCCCTAAAACCATTAACTATGATACTTTCCCCAGATTAAAGATGAATTTTCCTCTAGTACTTATTCTAATAGAGAGGTGGATTTAAGGACATATAATACTGTTAAGAGATCAGCATTTATACATTTTGACTTGTCTGTGGCTGAATACCATCTGGTCCTGCCAACTGAATTTCAAGGAACTATTTATGTCACTATTTCCGAGTTTCTTTTTTCTTTTTTAAAGTTTTAAAGTTAAACGTTAAAAAGAATACAAAACACAAAATACAAAGCATTTAATTAAAAATGAAACAAAAACAAAAATGTATACATTACAAATTAGTTAAGACAGTGCTTTCTTTCAAACAATATTCTAATACTTATTTCATATATCTGGGCAGTACTCCTACTCCCTCCTTATCTATTTACTCTCTGGTTTCTATTATTTATCCAATTATACCAGTTTTCCCAGACTGAATAATATTTTGAGTCTTCCTTTTCTTTTAATCTTAGGGTAAGTTTGTCCATTTCAGTGCAATTGTAGACTTTTTGGATTATTAAGTTTTCTATTGGCATCCGATCACCTTCCCAACATTGTGCAAGGGCTATCCTCGCTGCTGTAATTATATGTAAAATTAAATATCTTATTTCTTTTCCATATTCACCTTTTATTATTCCTGATTAAAAAAAATTCTGCCTTAAATTCTAATTGAATGTTTGTAATTTCTTTTATCCATGTCCGTATTTTTGTCCAATATTTTTTATTCTTCGGGCAAAGCCACCAAGCATAAAAGAAGGTACCCTTGTTTGTTTGCATTTTCAACAAAGTGGGCTTAAATTTGGATACATATTAGCTAATCTCAAAGAGGCCAGATACCACTGATAACACATTTTGTATTGGTTCTCTTTATATACCGTTGATTTTGTTATTTTGTAATTTTTTTTCCAAATTCTTTCCCAGTCTTCCAATTGAATGTTGTGCCCTACATTCCTTACCCATGCTATCATTGGGTCCTTAACTAATTCCTCTGCCATTTCAAACTCTGATAACTATACATATTTGAGATTACTTTTTCGTCTGTACCCTCTAAAAGTTTATCTAATTGGGTTGGTTTTACTTCTATTCTGTATTTCCACATCTTTTTTATACCTTGTTTTGAGCTGGAGGTATGGCCACCAATCTGTATTCAGCCCTTGCTCCCTGAACTCTTGATTTGTTTTTAGTATTCCTTGGGGCTCTAAAACATCATAATATTCGGTCATTTTTCCAATTTTTAGTGCATTGGGGTGTATCAGTGCCTCAGAGTTTCTATGTGTATTAATTCATGTATGAATATTGTTATACATTTCCAGGACAATTCATTTAGTTTCTCTGCAGCGTCTTGACAATTTTTTCATGCCCCTGTCTCCTTTACTACCCAGCCTTTTATAACTTCATTAGAAGGTATTTCTATAATTTTAATCATTAATGCTTTAAGCCCAAATAGGCCTACAATTATTATGTTGTTTGTTGTAACCTGTCATGCCCCCGGAGGAGCCTGACTCTGAGGAAGAGGAGGAACAGCCAACAGGGAGTGGAAGTGTGGTTCCAGATGTTGTGGAGGAGGCTGGGGAAGGGTAGAGGCCGGCTGAGCAGTCAGAGGAGGACCCAGGCCCACCCCCTATCCATCCTAGGGCATGCAGGGAGGAGAGGATCAGGGTAAAATGTGGTCTACTTGGGAGGAGAGGGCCATGATCCTCTTCATGGGTTGCAGGTGTGAGATCTGCATAAAAGTTGGACCTGCGTGCTAACAGACGCTGAAGACAAATTAGTGTTTTATTCATAAAGAAGGTTTATCTTGGTTGGTGTTCTTCCAATGGACTGTCCCTGGTTATCTTCCTGAAGTTGGGAATTATCTATCCTGGTCTGTCGTGGAACTTTATTCAATGCGGTTTGTTTTTAGTTTTTGGTTTGTTATTGGCTCTTTGAATTTGAACTGTGTTTCTTTCCTTTGAAATGTTATTTTGAAAATAGTTTACTCCACCACTGTGAACAATTAAACAGCGAAACCAAGTTGAAGGCATTAAAGGACTTTTAGTTACATTTTGGGTTTTGTTATATTTCTGGTATACTCTGGATCATCACATTTTGTCTCCAGCCACCCCTTCAACTTGTTTCTGCTTTTCGTGGGGTAATCATGGATCAGCTCAGAGCAGAGAACGCCCAGTTTAGCCAGCAAGTGGCTCTTTTGACTGCACAGGTTGCACAGATGCAAGCTGTCCGGCCACACCGTAAATGCCCAGGAGTGGTGCCAGATAAATTTGATGGATCACTGGCCCAATTTCCAGAATTTTTTGGGCAGTGCCAACTTTATATGAGCTTTCGGCCAGAGGACTTCTCCACTGACCGGTATAAGGTGTCGTTTTTTATTAGTTTGTTGTCAGGCTCTGCAGCATGTTGGGCGACGCCTCTGTTGACCCAGCCCAACCATGGGTTGGACAATTATGCCGAGCTTTGCCGTCAGTTTCAGGCCATGTTTGAGGACCCTGTTTGGAGCCAAACAGCAAACAGACATTTGAGAGAGTTGAAGCAGGGGCGTGGCTCGCTCATGTATTATATTGCTAGCTTTGGGGTGGTCGCCCAGGATGTACAATAGAATGAGGCAGCACTGTTAGACCAGTTCCAGGAGGGTTTGTCAGCGGAGGTGCTGGAGGAGTTGACGCACACTGAATGCCCTTGCACCCTTCAGGAGCTCATGCCTCTGTGTCTTCGTATTAATGCTAGGCTTCAGGAGCTACAGGTGCAATGATGGACAGAGACTGCATCTGTTCCCAGCAAGACGGTGCCTCTGGTGGAAGTGCCTTTGGAAGAACCCATGCAGTTGGAGGCTGCTTGCCCTTGCCTGACCCCAGTAGAAAAGGATAAGCGTCGTCGTGATGGGTTATGCCTCTATTGTGGCAATCGAGGCCATTTTGCAGCCAAGTGTCCTGTTAAGACATCCACAGCAGCGACGTCAATAGTGGTGGGAAATGAGTATTGCCCAGCCTACAGGGGTCTGTAGGTCAAGTTTCAAAGTCCCTAGGCCCGCCATCTTCACCATCCTTGCCATCCTCACCATCTTTGACATCTTCAACATCTTCGCCCCAGTCGTCATTGGTGAAGCATCTTGTGCTGACAGCAAGTATGTTTGTGCCTGGTCATGGAGCAGTGGAGATCCAAGCTTTGGTCGACTCAGGGGCCGTGGCCAATTTCATGGATGCTCATTTTGTTGAGCAGTGGTTCATTCCCAGCAACAGGTGTCCCCGCCAGTAATGGTGGAGATGATTGATGGTTGGTGCCTTCGTATGGGACCTGTGGTTGCTGCAACCAAACCCCTTTGCATGTGTATTGGGCAGCACATGGAGGAAGCCATGTTCTACGTTGCCGCAGTACCTCATTTTCAGGTGGTGCTGGGTTTGGAGTGGTTACAGGCCCATGATCCACAGATTGTCTGGTCGTCTGGAACTGCGCAATTTCTTAATAGGAAGTGTGCCAAACATTGCTTGTGTTCCTATGTAGGGGGTGTGATTACGCCCAAGGACTTGGATCTACCTGCAGAATTAGTGATCTATGTTCCAAGTGGGGGGAATCAATGCGCTGACGCATTGTCCTGGAAGCCTGAGTATACCCGAAGGGAGGACAAAATCTTGCTCCGGACAGTGATTCCTTTGGAGCGGTTTGCGGCCACAGAGGAACTTTGGACCTTTGAATGAGGATTCAGGAGGCGCAGCGACAGGATCCATTTGTAGCAGCTCGGCGTCATGAATTGGATGAGAATGGGAGACAAGAGACTCCTTAGGCATATATTGGGGATCTGTTGCGGTTCCGTGATCGCATTTACGTCCCTGGAGGTCCTCTTCATGGTCTTACCTTACGTCTATGTCATGATAGTCCAGCAGCAGGACACTTTGGGGTGTTCAAAACACTGCACCTCATCTCCAGGACATTTTGGTGGCTGAGAGTTAAATATGATGTGTCAGGATATGTGGCGTCCTGTGGGATCTGTTGACAAGCCAAGTATGCTCCTGGTGTGCCCCCTGGTCTCTTGCAGCCATTACCAACGCCATAAAGACCTTGGGGGACAGTTTCATTTGACTTCATCACTGAATTGCCACCATCGAAGGGTGCTACAACCATTTTGGTGGTGGTGGATATGTTGACTAAAATGGTTCACTTTATTCCATGTGTGGGCCTTCGTACGGCCAGGATAACGGCCCAGTTGTTTATCTCCCATATTCCAGTTGCATGGGTTACCAGACTGAATAGTATCAGATCGGGGGGGTAAAATTTACAGCATGCTTCTGACAGACCCTACTTGTGAAACTGCAGGTTCAGGCATATCTGTCGTCCACCCATCACCCCAAAACTGATGGGGGGACAGAGAGAGTGAATGCTATTTTGGAGCAGTACCTCCGCTGTTTCAGCAATACTCAACAAGACAATTGGGTGGAAGTGCTGCCGGTGGCAGAATTTGCTTACAACGATGCTCAACATGCATCCACCTGTGTGTCCCTGTTCTTTGCCAACTATGGTTTTCATCCACAACTTTTTCCTTTAGCTCAGTCTGACTCCCCAGTTCCGGCAGTGGATACATTCTTGCAAGAGTTAAAAGCCATGCACCACATGGTCCAAGACCAACTAGAGAGAGACAAGGAGGACTACAAACACTTTGCAGACTGACATCATCGTGATATCCTGCCTTTAGCAGTAGGCGATCAGGTGTGGCTTTCTACTCAATACTTACCGACAATGTGGCCATTGAAAAAGCTTGATCACTGGGACCTTTTCCGATCGAGGCATTGATCAATCCTGTGGCTTTTCATCTTTCCCTGCCACAGACCATGTGTATCCATCAGTGGTGGTATTCAAAAAAATTTACTACCGGTTCTGTGGGCGTGGCTTGGTGGGTGTGGCCATGTGACTGGATGGGCATAGCTTTTTTTTTGCAGCCCCCACCCATTTTTGTGAGCTTCTTAGCCACAGAGGAGCCTCTGGGGGGCGTTTTTGCTCCCCTAAGGCTCCTCTGGGGCTCTGGAAGAAAAGGAACAGAGCATGGGAGGGGCTGACCTCCTCCCTCCATTTTTTGCCTTCCTGGGCCTTAGCAAGGGAATCCCGGCATAGCTGATCTTATCTACAGCTGATTATTGGGAGGGGAAAAAAAGAAATACCTAAGGCGATTGTCAGGCAGGTGGGTGGGCTGAGCGAGCTTTGGGCAGGAGGGCGACCAGGTGGGGGGCGTGGCCAGCCAGAACTGACTACCAGTTTGGCGACCCATGTCAAATTCTTGCTACCGGTTCACCCGATCTGTTGCAAACCAGCTGAATACCACCACTGGTATCCATCCTGTTTTTCATCGCTCCCTGTTACTCCCTGTGTCGGGTAACAGCCTGCATAGATCAGCTCCACCACTGCTGGGCTCGGTAGCCCCTCGGAGAGGCAGAGTATGAAGTGGATAGCATCCGAGATTCATACCATATGCAGGGCCAATTTCAGTATTTGGTTGCATGGAAAGGTTATGGACCAGAGGACTTCACCTGGGTCAATGCCACTGATGTTCATGCTTCTCGTTTGGTCCATGACTTCCACGCTTCGTTTCCTCAATGTCCTCATCTGCCTAGTCCTGGGGGAGGGGGCCCTGTGGAGGAAGGGGATAGTGTCATGCCCCTGGAGGAGACTGACTCTGAGGAAGAGGAGGAACAGCCAACGGGGTGTGGAAGTGTGGCTTCAGAGGTGGTGGAGGAGGCTGGGGAAGGGCAGAGGCTGGCTGAGCAGTCAGAGGACCCAGGCCTACCCCCTATCTATCCTAGGGCATGCAGGGAGGAGAGGATCAGGGTAAAATGTGGTCTACTTGGGAGGAGAGGGCCATGATCCTCTTCATGGGTTGCAGGTGTGAGATCTGCATAAAAGTTGGACCTGCGTGCTAACAGACGCTGGAGACAAATTAGTGTTTTATTCATAAAGGTTTATCTTGGTTGGCGTTCTTCCAACGGACTGTCCCTGTTCCTGAAGTTGGGAGTTATCTATCCTGGTCTGTCGTGGAACTTTATTGAATGCGGTTTGTTTTTGGTTTTTGCTTCCTTATCGGCTCTTTGAATTTGAACTGTGTTTCTTTCCCTTGAAATGTTATTTTGAAAATAGTTTACTCCTCCACTGTGAAGCCAAAACAAACAAAACAGTGAAGCCAAGTTGAAGGCATTAAAGGACTTTTAGTTACATTTTGGGTTTTGTTATATTTCTGATATACTCTGGGTCATCACAGAAACCCATATTATATCCTGGCATGCCTTCTGAATTTATACTCCATTCTCTTCTTGTTTTTTATAAAGGATTTTTTTAGCTTGTTCGATGCTTCACAGAAACCGCTTTGGTAATTTTGGGGGGCTTGATAATATTGTCTAAGTTGTGGTACACATTCTAGCAGGGTTTCTGGTTATGAATTTGAATAACTGCAAGCATTCTGGAGAGATGGTAGCCTTTTATTATTATTATTATTTTGACAAGTTTCTTACACTGGACTTCCCTATTTTCATTTCATTTTAAGTTACTTTTGCTAACAAACCTCTGGTTTCCTTTGATTTACTAACACAATTTATATAATAAAAGGATTAAGATGTCCTCTGAGGAGGAGGTTGATCTCATTTTTGATGACTAAGCAGGTTTTTTTTACAATAACGTTGATGTAATTTCTCATTGCCTTCTTTTAGGATTTTTAAAAAATTTCCAATAAGCCTGAAATTCTCCGGTAGTCTTCTTTTGCAGCACTAAGCAGGGCTGAGTTTAGATAACCTTTTTAACTCAAGAAGATTGGTCGGGTGCTGCCATTAGGCCTTATATCTAGCTCCCCTTTGTTCAATGAATAACTGTACGAAGACAATTGTTCTGGATATCACCTTTATTATATGTGGAATGAACATTTTGACATTTTCTATGAAGATTGCTGTTTCCATTTTATATGAAATATTTCATTTTTTAATGTAACATTCAAATAAACTTAACATTTTTGGTGGGTTTGTTTGTTTGAAAAGACTTGCAGTATAACCAAGTGGCTCACAAGAAATACTTTATGTATAATCCACTTTTGGAACTTGTTCTTAAGCTGAAAAATCAAACAATTCTACAGGTGTAATAGTAGCAGCCATATCAATTGCATTTTTGAACATTACAAAAATGCAGGGAAGTCAAGAGATCATAAGGCAAGTTATAAGACCACAGAAATAGCATGAACCGTACCATGGATCAAATAGTCTTCAGTGCAAATTGTGAGTGTTTATTTTCTTTACATTGATGAATCACTATGTGCTTGTCTCCAATTCTTCACAACTAGGTTGAGTACTAAGTAAAGGGTTATGTACTCACCTTTACTTTAAAGGTATACATTTGAGTTTTCTATCCCTACCCCCCATCTTTTTTTCCTTTTCAGGTGTATCCTTCTAGAATAAAATCTGGAGTTCAGTATTAATAGCTCTAAGCTCTGAGTTATTTGTACTTCATCCATATTTAAATATGTTCCTGTTACATGGCATGAAATAAACTGGTGTGTTTGTATTTATTTGTAGGCTTGTAGAAACAACAACTTTTTCAGCTATTCATTCCAAACTGTCAAGTAACTACATTAAGTTAATGCACATGTTTAATTGGTCAGTAGAATAAACTTAAGTGGGCCATGATGTAACCAGTGGTTATAGTGACATGAAAAGCAATATAAACTTTCTTCAAATTCTCTGAAAAAGCCTGATAAAATGTGTATTTGATACAATGGAAAAATCTATATTTGTCATAAAGGCATTTGATTAGCCAATGTTGAAAGTAGAATGAGGAACTAGAGAAATACATAACTTAAGTAAATACTTATATGATTAAAATTATATTATTGGTGTGCGTTAACTGGTCTGTTATGTTTTTTCCAGATGAAATAGCCAGATTTTTAAAAAATGTCTCTAATTTAACATATGATGAAAAACCCCAATATGAAATATTGAGGAAAATCTTTTTCAATGGCCTGGAACAAAAAGGAATTTGTTACAAGGAGACACTGGATTTAACTTCTGTTCAAAGCACTCTAAATGAATGCACAATTCACCACAGGAAAGTAAGTAATGAAACAATAAAGGTCAGGTCTAAATAAATAAAGGTAATAATACACCTTGTAAGTATTACCATGTTTCTCCAACAATATGCCCCCCCAATAGGAAGACCCAGCATGTTTTCTAGGCATAAAATGAAATTAAGCCCCTCCCCCCCAAATTTAGGCCTATTTTAAAACATGCAAAATTGGGGGAAGGGCGGGGGGGACTTGCCATTAAGAGCGCCCCGTGGGCAGCCATGCCTCGCCACCAGCCGCTCCTAACGGGCAATCATGGCAGAGCACAGAGAGCTCCCTACTGCCTCCAAGCACCTTTGCTGCAGACTCAAGACCTTCGGCACCCACCGATGCTGCTTCCTCCGCCTCTGTTGCTTCCTTTCTACCCGTGCCTCCGCCCTGTTTGGAGCTGCCGCTGCGTTTGGAACACCACCACCGCGTTTGGAGCTTCTGCTTCCGAGTTTCGAGCTGCTGCCGTGTTTGGAGCACCACAGCGACAAGGGTAGAAGGGAAAGCAATGGCAGTGGAGGAAGCAGTAGCAGCGGGTGCCAAAGGTCTCAGGTCTGCAGCAAAGGTGCTTGGCGGGAGTAGGGAACTCTCCATGCTCTGCCATGATTGCCCATTAGGAACAGCTGGTGGCGAGGCATGGCTGCTCACGGGGCACTCTAGGTAAGGATGCAAGGAGGGGAATTAAGTCACCACCGAAAAGACGGCCTAGCCGTATTTTCAGGGCTCAAAAAAAAAAAAAAAAAAGACCTGGCCTTATTTTATGGGAAAGATGGTAGTTAACTTTAAATCAAATTTGATATTTCGGGAAATTAAACTTGTAGGAGTATATAAGATGTCTTTTTCAAATTATTCCTTTTAATTGTTGAATTGAAAATGTGGTAACTTTTGAGGGAAATGGAAGAAAAAAACAATAGATGTGAGGATCAAAGAGATCCCTGGTATATTCTTAGCAGCTAACAGAACCTGGCTCAAAAGCTAAATTTTTCTGACCCAGCTGAATTCCCCGAAAGCAAACAAAGATAAACTCAAAAACTGAACCGTTCACGGTTTTGTTCTACAAATACCTCTTTGTAGTTAACAGATGGCTTGCAGCCAAGTAGTCCAATTAGAAAAACCTTCAAATAAATCAGTTATCACACTTAATCCTTCGAACATTTTTTGCCTTCTGCAAAAGCAAAAACCATTTGCAACCAGGCTTATATTCCCTAGAGGGAAGGGCCATTACGTTGCCTCCTTACTCCCGAGTCATCTGTGCAGCTTCAGCTGTTCCCTCCTACAAAATCATCCTGCGCTCACATGCACTTAGCACAGGCTCTTCTGAAACTTCATCACTGCTGCCAGCACCCACCATCCCTGAAGGGAGCAGTCCACTCCCTGATGGTCCCGCCCCCCCTCCGAGTCCTCGCTCTCCTCCTCTATCTGCACCTGCTGCCAGCTAATCACAACATAGAGTTGGACCAGGTTAGTACTATTTTGATATTTTATATCCATAAAATATCAAAATAGACTAGAGTGGAAAATAAAAAAAATATTCCAGGAGGCGGCAGTAACTAATCATGGTTTCAGAGGAACTGCATCAATATTTCCACGAAGCCATTCAGTACTAAGCTTGCTTTACAGGAATTTCAACTTGGAAGAGCTTCGGATTATTGCTAGAGACAGATTAAGATGGTGAGCATTTGTCAATCCAGTCACTTGGGAGTAAAAAAGGACTGTGGCATCTAAGTAAACTGTAAAGTAGATTATGCTACATTTTTAAACATTTGTTTCTGATTTAAGGTATGGAACAACCACTGCTCAGTGTTAAAGTGCTAAATCTTCAGATTAGATAATCTAGTACAGGGCCGTCAAGCTCCCAGCCCACAAGCCAGATGCATCACATGTTGATCACACTCACACCTGGTTTAGCGAAGTAGAAAAAAGTCCCAACATGTCATGTGATGCTGCCATGACACCCCTGATCTAGTATATCAAACTTTGACATTTTCTTGGATAGGTTCCAAAAAGAATTTTACACTCAAGTTGGGGGATATTGTCTTACTTGGAGCAGATAAATTTTATATTTTCTGCATAATATAGTTTTTGTTAGTCGTATTTGTGAATCATCATGAATGCCAGCAACATTCCAGACCATATTTAAAGCAGTTGCTTTTTATTGCTCCAGCTATTTCATTTTCTCTATCACTAGCACCAACCTCAAGATTTTAATTTTTGGCCATATTTTCATTCTTGCCTCCCAAAACTCTGTACTTGGATTATGAGTGTCTCAATATAAATTAACCGTGGTACCATAGTGCTCCTTATTTTTGTTATTGGAAATTTACACTAAGAGTAGTAGTAGTAACAAATCTTTATTATTAATCTTGGATTAATATCATTTTCCAAGTCCAATTAAAAACATGAGATGGCTGTCTCTTACCATATGGATAAGTCTGAAGTCTTTGTTGATGAGTATTCATTAAGGCAAGGTCAAGATGTCATTCAGTTTTAATATCCCTAGTGAACTTTGGACTGTCACAATAATGTTAGTAAAAAAATGTGGGATGCAAACTAAAGTGACTGATCGGCTGTAAGATAAATGGTGATCCAAATCTTAGTGCACAGATGGTTTTGATTTGCTGAGTTTTGTAGCTGTTGCAACTGAAGACATAAAATAGCACCTAGTCATAAATTAGCTCTTTGGAAACCAAACCTTGGCACCAAAGCTTTACAACCTTCAATTAGTAGCAAAAGAAGTATTTGAATGACTCTGGTATTGACATTGGTAGGTCTGCATAGTAATCATTCCTAATAGAAGAGAATCTCTGTTTGAGGGGCTTTTGCATGGCTAATTAACTACCACTGAGAATATGTAATTTTTTCATGATCTCCCGATTGTCACCTTTCTCTCATGGTACAATTACATTTTATTGTAGCAAGTGCCTTTGGAAACCCAATTGTCAACACTATTTACGTTGTGCAGAAAAGCAGAACAAAAGTTCATGTTTAATAAAAAGCCACTGGATTTTGATCTTGGTAATTGCCAATACTTTTTCCCCCCAGAGTTTTATAGACTTTGGTATTTTTTTCATCACTTCTTCCACAAAGCAAAAAGCCATTTCCTTGCTGCTGTGGTTGCCATTTAATCTAAATTAATTGGAGCAGCTTCTTTTTGTATCTGTGATTGGTACACTTTTCTAAAGTTAATTGAAATATGCATTTTAATTAAGAAATCTTGCTTTTTGACAAAGTTTACTTCTTTCATCTGTAAACACAGATCTAAGTTATAGTCACGGATTCTATTAAAGCTATAGCAATATCCTTAATATTCTTAATAATTCTACTTTAAAAGATCCTCTTGGACCGTAATCCTCTGAAACATCCAAGGATTTATAGGAGCTCCTCATAAAATGAAGCAGACTTCCATTCTCAGATTCAGCCTCCTCCCTCCTCATTCTTCTCCAAGGTTTTCAAGTTGGGAAATCTAAAACTTATAAAATACCAGAACAGCACACCTAAAGATTCACAAGTCTTATGAGTTTTCTCATTCTAGGACTTGGAAGTAAATTTAGACCAATTTGCTTACAATGGGGAGTACTTATTTTAAATATCAGAAAATAGTTTAACACCAATCAGTGATCATACAGTTTTACAATAACAGGACACAGCCTGCATAAATGATGTCTTGTGATATAGGTTGCAGTTGGTTGGGCACACACACACACACACACACACACACACAGAGTTAGAATAACTTTTGTCACTTTGAATGTACACTAATCGGCTTGTATTAAAATAAAATACTGCATACTCTCTCAAAGGGTCTCCACCTCTAATATACCTAAACATGACAAAATAAATACAAAAGTATGCATATACCTACATATGAGAAATTGATAGAAAACTATCAGTTACTATGAGTCACTTAGATAGTGAAATTGGCATTGTATAAACTTGTTTGATGAATAATAAAAATAAATTTGTGATGGATTTGGCTGGGAACAAGGACTGGAATTCTAGCCAGAGATTGTGGTCTGCAGACATCTTCGGCATACCTGAGGATTTTTTTTTTCTTTGAGCTGCTTGTATGTCACAATACACTTGCTTTTAAAGCTGTATTTTGTTTCAGTTGTGATTTTCCCATGCAAGATTGTAGTGATGAAGGGAAGGGAACTTCCACTAATTCCAAATTTGATATTTGGGGTCTATTCTTAGTTTTTACCAATGCAATTGCTTCAGAGCTGTTTAAATAGAGAAAAAAAGACCTGCAGTTCAGATTTGAGATTGAAGTAGGACAAATAATCTTCCATATTAAAGTATTGTAGAATTGATTAATTTATATAATGACAATAATTTTGTACCAGGATATATTTTACTTTATTTTAATACTTTAAAATTTGTAGCTTGATATGACATGATAGAAAATACAATATAATCCATTTTTTCCTGTCCATAACATAAAAAAAAGATGGAAGAGATCCTTCATATTCCAAATATGGAGCTAGCAGAAACAGAGATAATACTGGCAAGAGTTTATAAAAAAGTAATTACTCCTTTAGTTGTTATATGTGTCTGGTGTTTGTCATAATACAGTAAATCCTTGATTAAACAAATAAAGACAAGGATTGCTTCAAAGCTGAATGTTTGCTACGTGATGAATGGGATTTTTCTCACCTAGAAACATATGAAAGAAAAGCATCTTTACCGATAGCAGTGAATTATTGCCTTAAGTCGTTCAATTTTGGCAAAACTCAGATTCTGGATATCCACCAAACAGTTACATTAAAATTAGGCTTGTAACAGTGTGCTGACGAATATGGGGATTGATACCAGCTTAGATAATTTTAAGATCTCTGGCTTGGAGTATCTTTTTGTTAAAAAAGGGCATAAAAAAGAACACATACTCATTGCCTAATTAAAACATTCCCCTTTCCCTGCTATTTGGAACTAAATTTTAAATCTATTTTGTAAAAAAATGGTTTAAAGAATTGGACATGATAAATCTTTGCCCATTCTTTGTAAATAATTCATAACTCTTGCCTCTTGAGTGGAATACTGGAATTGGAGATACCCATTCAAGTTTGTGCTTTGTCCAGTGCATTTTATTTGATGGTCTTAGTGCATTGCCAATGCATCCTACTTCATAACTCTTACTCCATTTAAACATTGGTATAATTACTAATCTTTCCAATTCCTTTTACTGTTACTGCTCTTTTCTAGGTTTCATAGCACAAACACATTTTGCAGCTGTTCAGATTTCAATTTAAACAGCCTCCTGATACATGTAAACCAACAGCTTTAAAGTAATAGGGAATTTTTAAGGAAGAGGCATAAAAAAATGAAGAGATATTGCCTATCAACATGTTATAGATTACATTTAAAAGCTTAGAAAAATATTTTAGTTACTATTTTTTCATTTGTGACACTGACATTAAAATACAGCATGATATTGACAAACTGTTTAACCTCTACTAAAGGTTACTAAGTCATCTTAATTTCTCTAAAAAATATACTGAAACATTTTTTTAAAGTAATGCTGCCTTAGAAAATCAAATTGTAATAATCTTAAATAGCTTCAAATTTCATAAAATTTGTCTATTCCTTGCATGGCTGCATTAAAAAGCAATGCTTTTTTCTAGTATTGTACACGATCTATTTTATGTTAGGACTCATTCAAGTTCTTTTAACATAAAACTAATTCAGTGGATGAAGGCTGCAGCAGTACTATGTCATTTCATGGATTGCACTCGGGATGGCTTAATTTGTATATTTAATAGGCTCATTTGCTGATGCCGACACTGAAGCAAGTAAAAGGACAAGAAAGCCAACTAGAGAACAAAGAGTTTTTTAATCTTAGAAAAGCTACTGCACAAATGAAAAGTAGCCAAATACAAGATAAGCCAGTACTGGTTAGATTGTATAAGTTTACTGGAACTTCAATGGTAAGTTTATGTTGCATTAAAAAAAAATCATTTTACCTTTTTTCTAGAACATGAAGTACAGATGATAAATGGAAATAAAGTATATTTGTCTTGAAATACATTCCATGAATATGAAAATGTTGCTAGAAATTACTATCAAATAATATGCCTAATGTCCCAGACAGAGATTACCAGGGCTAACAAACCATTAAGAACAAATATTCTGTTCCATTATTATAATTAGTATGGTATTTTCTAAATTTAAAGGCTTCTAAATTTTTACTCAAATCTTCAAAAATTTAAAAACTTCATTATATTACTCAATGCAAGATTAAGATAACTGACCCTCAATTCATATTGCTCACATAGTAGTCTCTACAAATGTAAATATTTAATATTTCACTGTTGTGACTCATACGCTGCACACTAGTGGGTACCTAAGGTATTTAAAAGATATTTAAATACAATGGGTATTTATGCAGTGCTTCAGACACCACACATTTGGAAAATTGTAATTTTCTGTGATTATATAAATTAAAAATTATCTGCAAGAAATAATAGAAATGTTTGATTTGCATGTTTGGGAATGGGAACGGTCCTTAGACTTGTACGTTCTCCACACTTTATAAAAGTTGACATGTTAGTTTTCTAGTATATGATTATTACTTGTTTGAAACAAATTTCAGTCTTTTCCAAGTGAAATATCTGTACCCCCCCCAGGCACAGTTTGCAGCAAAACATTAACAAAAGACTCTTCAGATACATCTTTTTAATCATTCCACTTTATTGGGTTTTTTTTAAAAAAAATCAATGTAGTAACTATTTTTAGTTAAGCTTTGGTAATATAAGTAAAGAACAAAGGGAAAAATACTTAGACCTCTCTAGCAACAAAGTACTGAATATTTGGTCTCAGACGAATTGCTACTAGTAACATTTTGCCTTGTTTTACAGGACAATGTAAAACCACTGCCCTGCACTGATTCCTGCAGTTCTTTCCAGAATTTTGAAGAAAATTGTAGAGAAAATGGAGTCACATATTCAGTAGTCCATCAGCCAGAATGTGTTCAAAGTCTGACTAGTACTTCCACATGCTGCCCCTCTCAGATTGGACTGAATGGAAAACTGTTTCAGTATATTGTGGCCATTGTTGTCCTTGTCTTCTTAATAATGCTCTCTCTCTATTTCCTTTGATACCTTCTCCAGTAAGTGCTCAGGAAATGCAGTTATCCATTTGTATTCAGATTTTCTTGGTAGATATTTTCAGTGTGATTTGCTAGAATAAATTTGTTTCCAAATAAAATTATCTTATGTACAGATTAATATATAAAGTTGCCTATATTTTCCAGTATGCTACAAAAACTATCAGATTTTAAACATTTGAAATATACACCATTCCCCAAACTCCCAAGTTTAATGCTTTGTACACTGGGATGCACTACAAGCCTACAATGAAGTTCCCCATGAATTACAATCGTATTATTTTCAAATTTATTTGGAACCATTTTTATTCATCTTTGCTTACCTTACTACAATACGGGCATTCACCAAATATGACATTAAAACTTTGTCGACTTGAAGGAAGCCCACGTAACCACTGGAGATTAAAACAAGGTGTTATTTGCTGCATTTGAAGATAGATGATGGCTATGAAAATGTTGCAAACAGAGTAAGCATCTCTCCTATTCAAGGCTTTAAATCAAGAGTACATTCTGATCAAAGATAATCTCTCTCTCAAACACACACAATCTTCCCTAAGAGTGAAGTTGACTTCTTAAGAGAACCAATTCTGATAGTTTGGTTATACTTAGGGTTACATTTGTTTTAAAAACAATGCTAAGACTCATCTAAAAGTAGAATTTGCAGTAATTATTAGTTACTTAAAACACTGAGAAATAAAATAGCAAGTGATGCATAACTGAGCAATAATATTCTACATCAGTATATATCATTATTGTAAAAATCTACTTGTTCTCTACCAAGCAATTAGATTCCCCTTAGTTTTAAATTCATACAGCTACTGCATGGAGTTAAATGCCTAGAACAAAGAAATATTGAATGCTTATGATAATCATACCTCATATAAACAAACTTGATGAAAAGATTGGCCACAATGAGAGTCATCACAAACCTGGTCTGGAATAACCCCATCCAGACGATAAGCATAGCAAATACCACAATCCATAGAGAAATCCTTAAAAATATAAAATATAACTATACTGATGAGGTGGTTGTGTTTAGTACATGCACTGCACACAAATCAAAGTTCATCCAGGATTTATGAATAACACAAATAGCAGAAGTTATACAGCACACTAAAACAAACCAAATTACATGATGGCTCAACAGCATTTGTAAAGTTCATCAATTATGTCAAGTTGTAATACATGTTAACTTTTTTGTAAAAAAAAATCAGGCACTTTGACATTAATTTTATCAATTTTATATCGCACTGTAGCTGTCTATGAATTTATATACATGAATTACACATATGCACGCAACCTGTTTACATCATCTATGGCTTATGGAATGTTTTGCTAGGAGTCCTACCTCTTGGCATAGCATTCATAACTAATCATGCCTCTGCTGAATCTCTTCCTGTCTAAAACTAATATTCAAATATGAAAGGGACACCGAAATCTTCCAGTATCAAATGGGGAAGGATAATCAGTTATCCCCACCATTAAAAATGTTATGTGCAAATGGGTTTCTTCCTGAACAGGGAAAGCCTTGGGAGACTCCCCATCTAGCTGTGTCCATAAAAGAGGCAAACAAGCAGGAAAAAGCTTTGCAAAGCCAAAAGCAGCCCACATAGGGGAAACGATCCCAGCCATATTAGGGCTTAGTACTGCATCCCAATGCCAGAGAGGCTTCCAAACAAACCTCCGTGCTTGGCCAATGAAGCCACATTTATGGACTGGGTCTTTGCCCCAACCAGATGGTCATCAAGAGATTGTTAATGTCCTTGGGAAAGCCATCTGCCTGCGTGCAAAGATGGCAGCTTTAGGACAAAGTTCCCCAAACCTTTCCACTATTTATTCTCCTTCCTCTCCCAGAAACCCATATTTCTTCAATAAAAAGAAGGAGGAGCAGAATTGTTGAGCTCCCCTCCCCACAATTAACTTAAATCTCCAGGTCTGCTCTCCAATCTCATCCCATATAACCACTTAGTTTGCTAAATTTAGTGCTTGCCTGGAAAGAGGGTGAAAAAAAGTTATTTACCTTGTTGATTCATTGCTAGACTGAAAAACAGAGGAAAGGAAGCAAACAAGCAAAGAAAACCTTTCTGCAAGTTGTTTGTCTTGAGCTGAAAAAAAAGCTCAGCTCTAAAAAAAAAGCGGCTAAAGCAAGGTAGATAGTTGCCCTGGAAAATTCTTAAAAGGCAATTCTAATGATCACATGTGTAGCTGAAGGCCCCAGAATATGTTCAGAAATTATGAGGACACTATGCCTTACTTAACTTGTATCGAAGTTTGATGATTGGAACTATTTACTTAGGAAATGCTAAGAGAAAAAGACCAAAAATGAAAAAAGCCAAAAACAGTCACTGGATATTGTTTGATTAGTTCAAATCTATAGATCTGCCCAACTCCTAAAGCTCAGTACACAACTATAAATAAACTTACTATAAACTGTAAAAAGAGTAAATAAAATATATGAATAAAAAATCAAACAAGAATAAAATATTGAAAAAAAATCCAGGTAGAAATTATGTGTTTTTCTCCAGAGGGAATTAAATGATACCTCAATTGGTACTGAGAAACTGGAAGAAAATTGTAGTTATCTTGCTTTGGAATATTAAAATGGACTTTAGGAGAAAAGAACTATCTGGGCAAAGTGTGGAGAATAAGATCTTGGCAGAAATGATTTTTCTGCCAAGTCTTGAATCTGAGACAATCCAAGAGAAATTGATAATTGGTAAATCCAGGAATGAGGGGTCTGTAAGAATAGAGGGCTGTCGTGAGTTAATTAAGATACTTTTTATTATGTTTGGAAGCCCACAGGGGAGGGTATTTTTATGCAGTTTGGGTAACTTGTTGAGCAATTTTCCTAATGCTTATTATTGGCAACTCCAATATAGTAGTGTATTGGGGATACCAGCAAAAGAAGGGACCTTAAACTTGACTGCGATTAAGCTTTAGGGGACCTTTCTGGGAAAGGCTCTAAAGCTGGGAAAGGTAGAAGACAACGAAGACAACACCACCACCACCAAAGGATGACCAGCAGGAAGGCAGATCATTACAGAAGCAATGAATGCACCATTGGACGATCTGAATAACTGGGTTGGAGACAAACTGTTACGGAGAAAATCATAAGGTCATTAAGAGTTGACAAAGATTGAAGGCAAATACTCAAGAGAAATTTCTGAACCATGGTGAGGAATTTGTTCCCAAAAATGGATTTTAGATGAGAGAAACTATTGTGCCAGGCCCATTTTGTGCTGTATCTTATCTGATTCCGAAAGGATGCTTCAGAGTTGAGGGGTGTGAATGAAAGAGATGCCTGCAATCTTTTAAAGCAGTTACACCTTTTCCCAGAATCAAAGAAGTGGCCTGCCATAGTGACCAAACAATCCTACAAACACGGATCCTTTAAGGAGCTGCAGCCTAGTATAATATTTTTTTCTACATGTACTCCAAATCAACTTTTTAATCTGATCTGAACCACCGCAGAGTTCTGTTTTGTAAATACCTGGCATGCTTGCAAGAATCTAGATTGTATCCATTGGGAGAACGTTTGCTATAGAATGGAACCTTCAAGGCCATAATGTGATTGGAGTCAATAACGTACACCCCCACAATCTCTTGCACATGAAATAAAGATATATAATTGTTTTGACATAGAACAAAGTGAAAGAAAAGAAAAATTTCCAAAATGTTGGTGGAAAATAAAACTAAAGGGATTAAAGGAAGCATGCCTTATTGTGCATGCCTCACATGGGACCGAGCTCCTACCAGGAAATCCTATTAAGTTCTAGATTGTTCTGAATGGGCTCTTGTCGTATCCCATCTGAGATAATCACAGAGCTACAATGAAGAACTAGCCTTAAACTTAATTGGGTAAAATACACATTACTGTTTCTAATTAATTGTGTCTTTTAAAGCAAGTTTAAATGTTTTAATCAGTATTTATAAAACCTGTCTATGGTAGCCACCATTTTAGATGAGACAGTGTTTTCCCTAAGATAGTAGATATATATGCATCACCAGAGGCCATCTAGAAATAAGTATTCTTTTTCCCCATCCAGTGTTTTATTTGCATGCAAATTTAACTTTTTGTATTCTTCTTTAATTAACTAAGATCTTTCAATCAGCTTATAGCTTTACGTTTTATCACTCACAGGATGATAAAAACAATAAGACCCAAGGCAGGATATATGGACAAATATTGCCTTTATGATATTCTTCTACAGATTTTCTATTAGTAGACTGAAGATAGGAAATCATAGCCTATAAAGATTCAAATGAAGCTTTGATTAATCTCAAGCAATTCCTTTCTCAACTGATCTTGATGTATACATCTTTTTATAGGAAAGGGCATTAGGTGATATGAAAGCTCTCAAATTACAGTGACCTACCAATGTGTTATTGCAGAGTGTCACATATAATATGTGCAAGATATTACAAATTCTTCATGAATAAACAATATCAAAAAATGATACTGAGATATTCCAAAATTGTATCTAGTCAGAGCATTTACAAACCCGACATTCTACGGGCAAGGAAGAAAACATATCTTTCCTGGTTTTATTATTATTGTCATTCACTGTGAGAAAATACAAAGAATAAATCTGAATAGGAGGCCAACTCCAATAATTAAGATCCACTTTACCGTTAGAAGTTTATGGATTTTTAGCGTCCACAGGCCTTCCTACACAGCTGCCTAACATAAATAGATCATATTTTTATTTAGCCTATTCTCAGAATTTTCCAAAATAGGAAAGAATGGGCAGGTAGATGAATGGAAGAATGGGAACTTCTTTCTCTGATCTTAGTGTACTTACTGTACCTGAAACAGATTTTGTTTATATTTTTGTATTAAATGTATTACATTTAAAATTAAATACAAAACACTATATGTATTATTTGGTATCAATTAATACAAAAAAACACACACATACACACATCATTCAAAATCTCCTTGAAGGAATACATGGAGAATAGTACTCATGTACAAGTAGAAAATTTTTGAATCATCTCTTTGAAAAATAGTTTCCAACTATTTTTTATTTTTTTTAGTTTCATTTCCAACTATATAGTATTCAAACATGGTGAGCATAGAAAGTATAAGATAACTTACAGATTTTTCTAGAGCTTCTCGAGATGGGAAATCAACTTCTAAAATCTCTTTTAAATTTTTTAATAAACTATTTTCCGGGTTC